GTTTTTAAGTTATATAAAGCTATTAGCCCATTATTATTATTATTATTTTTTTATCTCTTTAGACCTCAATTATTATTATTTTTTAAATTATAATTTTAGCCCTTAAAATATTAATAGATATAAAAAGTTATTAAATAAATAAAAGAGTTAAGCGTAACTCGACTTAGGTAAACCCTTGTCTTATTAATTTAAGAATTTAATTCTTATTCAATCATAACTCTAATCTATTGTCAAAACAAAGGAGATGAAATAGTAAAATGGAAAGAGAGATTGATCAAGAGCTTGTAATAAAAATTTGCTTTTTTATATTCCTTTTTAATTTTTCTTTGCATTTCTTATCTGCATTTCTCCAAAATTTTTGCATGTAGTCTGACGTATATTTTCTTAATTATTTTGTTAGTATTCCTTTCTTAACATTGAATTCAGAACAATAAGCAAAAGAAATTGTTAGTGGATGCACTAATGCAAAACAAAAAAAAAAATTAACGGTTGAATAAATGTTAAATCATGTTAGAGATATTGGTAAAATAATAAAATAAATGGATTGGAAAATTATAATATATAGAAAGTAAACATAAAAATAAAATGGTATATTTGGAAATAAATGAAGTTTGTATAAACATTTACATATGCTTAAAAATTTTAATGGAGTAAACTTAGAATTGGAGCCTAGAAAGATAAAATATGGGATCCAATAACATCACTCTTAAATTTAAAATATATTTTGTAAAATCAAAATTACCTAAAGAGACTATCCATGTCAAAATTCTTTGAACAAATTTTTTCGATTCTTAAAACTTTAAAACTTTTAAATCTATTCTAGAATTTTAATAGCATGATCTATTATTTAATCCAATTTATTTTTCCCCTTTTACTGATTAATTAAATCAGTCATGTAAATTCTTTTTCCTTAAACTTTTAAGACCTTTATTTCTTTGTTTTCATATTCTCGTTACAATTTTTGAGTTTAGTAAATCAGTTAAAATTTTTATTTCATTATATTATGGATACTTTTACACTAAATTATTGGTGAACTTGATATAAAATAATATGTTTTATAAAAGGATTCCAAAAAATAGATTTGTAATTTGTAGCTTTTAAAATTCAAAAGCTGCTTTTGAAAGTTAATTATAAGAACACCTAAAATTAACTTAAATTATGAATTTTTAATAAAAAATATTCAAAAATAGAATATTAAAAACAAAAAAGTTAAAAAACGGAATCGAAGTCATCGGCTAACAATTGTTAGCAATGGTCAGCTACGCTATCAGAAAATTATTTCGTGGTGAGTGGGTAGACACCGCCAGCACGGTTGCACTTGCTGGCAAGCGTACTATCCAATAATGTTGTTGGTGTCGTAAAAAATGGCGGTATTTGGCCGCAACAATCTAACAAAGTTCAACCCAAACTTTGCCAGCTGTTGGGGAATGATGGCATAGTATTTGACAACATCATTGACACGGTTGCACTTACGATCGCACATATGCAACCGTGTCGTGATGTGACTCACTCAATATGTTGAAGAATTTTTTGACAGCGGCAACTAGCCAACGTCGAGCAATTTTCAACATTTGAAATTTTGAAACTGTTTAATTAAAATAACTAAATTTTAATATAATTAATAATAGAAAAAAATATATTAGAAAAAATCTATTTTGGTCCTTTACATAAGTATATATTATTCTTAAAATAAAAGTAATTTAAAAAAAAAAATAAAAAAACACCTCATAATTATTTTGAAGTTGATTATCTAAAATAATATTTAACAAATTACAACAGTCCCAAACTAAGCCTCGACTCACACACAAAACATATTAATCGGGTCACTGAAACTTTGAAAGGTTTGAAATTGTTTTACTAGTTTCTTTGTTTTCTTTTAATTTATTTGATTCAACGAAATAAAAAAAAAAAAAAGTGAGCGAAAATGAGTGAAAATAGTACTAGCTAAGGAACTCAATGGAGTTGCCAGAAACAGACAATTGTAGAAATTGTAGTTTTTCACATTTCAAGGATTTTCTAGTCCACTGAAGCCTGTTATAATTATATTTTGCACTAACTTATCCCTATCTTACCTAAAATACACATTTGTTACCCTATTCTAGAAATTTTATTCAATTATTTTAAATCACTTAGGTTTGTTAATTAACTAAACAACACACCAAAAAAAAAAAAAAAAAAGGTTTAGAAATTAACAAAAACACCCCTACCCACTAGACCTGGCAAAACGGGTATGGATCCGCGGGTCGGTCCGTACCCGGGTAAAAATATAGGGTATGGGTTCAATAAATTAAACCCATTTTTTTGTGACCCGTACCGTACCGTGCAAATAATTAAGGGTCATACGGGTGAACCCGTGGGCACCCGCGGGCACGTATAAGCCAAGGCTTCGTTCTGTTTTGAACTGAATGAATCCCTAAAAGTTTTAATTTTTTCATCAGACTTCACGCCTCCTCTCACGCTGACGCCTCCCTCTCACGCCTCTCTCACAGAGTCACAGTCATCACGAATCCTTCACAGAGTCACAGTTCACACTCACGCAGTCACGCCTCCCTCTCACGTCTCCCTCTCACGCATCTCATCAGTCATCAGACTCATCACGAATCACGGTCACGCTCCCCTTCACAGTCTCACAGTCACTTCATCTGAACATCTCATCTCAGAATCTCTCAGTCTCAGATCGCGGCCGCATCGTCACTTCGTATCAGTCTCTCATCAGTCATCGCTCATTAGTCTTCTTCGATTAATATTCGTCACTTCGTCACTTCGATAACGAAATAGAGGCTCAGAGAGAGATCAGAAGCGAAGTTCGGCAAAAAAAGGTTCTTCAAAACAAACTCCTTTCGATTATTTTATTATTTATTTTTTTATTTTTTTGGGAAGCGAATGAATTTTTACTCGAATGAAAGTTTTTAGGAAGAATTGTTTGAGTCTTTCATAGTTGCTTATGTTTGGTTTGGTACAGTTTGTGGACCTTATGGTTTGGAAAATTGACAAATAGGTCCCTTTGTGAGAGAGGTTTATGGTTAATTTGATGAGATTTAAAGAGGTTTGGGGTGATCTTAGGGGTGATGATTATCATGTTTAAGAGAAGTTTTTGATGGTTTTGGAAACCAATGGGATCTTTTTAAATTCGTACTTTAGTGATAATGAATTTTTTTTGGAATGAATTTTGCTTGGTTTTCTTTTTGTGGTTGGTATAGTTTTATGTTTCAGTTTGTGCTTGGTTTTAAATTTTGTTGTTTGGTTACTTAGAAAGTGGAGGAAAGTTATGGAAATGAATTGGAAAGAGTAGAATAGCAATGGATCTTGTTTATGGTTCTCTTTATGGGTTTGTGATGATTGAAATGAACAGAAAAAAAAAAATGACACTAATCGAAAGTGAGCGAAATTCTCGAGCAGATGAACTTTAATTGTAGTTTTGTGATTAAGTGATCATTTATGGGTCCTTGGAGCGCAGACTTGTTGGTTGCTTGGAAAATGTGGAACGTGAAACACAATGAAGTTGTAGATACAATGTGTTCTGCTGATATTTTGAATAGAATTGCAAACTCTTTCAGCAGAAGGGTTGTGTTAGGTGGTTTAGTTAGTGCTGGTTTTAGACTTTAGTTTCATAATGGTGAAAAATCTGGGATTTCAAGTTCATGTTATCAGTAATAGGTGGACTATTTATAATTAACATTAACAATCTATAAATAACTCACTTATGCATAATTACTACATAGAATCTATTATGAAATGACAATTGTAACATGTTAACATAAATATTCGTATATTTTATTATTACATTTATTAATATGTAGTTGATAATTGTTTGTAGATGTGAGGTGAAAGATGTTCGGATGATGATCTTGATGTGCCATTGACTGATCTCGAGACCGTGGAATCAAGAGACTCTATACGCCCCTGTGGAATGAAAAATTTGCTGTCCTAAGAATGTTTTTTGTTGAATATTGGATTATATATTTGTTTATTTTAATTGGTATTTATAGTTTATTGACTTATTTGGTTTGTTTATGTGTAATTGTGTATTAGTGATTTTGTATTTGTTTGTTTTGGTTGGTATTTGTAGTTTTGTATTATATGATATTGTTTGTTTATGTGTTATTTGTTTATTTTGGTTCATATTTGTTTATATTCTTAATTGAATTGAATTTAGAGTAGTTGATTTAGGGGGTGTAAATGTAAAAAATTAAAACTGCAGGACTTTTAGGGGTATAATTGTCATAATTGAAAACTGTTAGGGGTGAAACTGTCAAAACTGAAATCTGGAGAGAGAAAAAACGGGTCCACCCGTACCCGTATAGGGTAGGGCACGGGTCCAAAATATTGGACCCGTATATATCGACCCGTATAAGGCCCGTACCCTTTTTACCCGTACCTGTTTTATCCGGTCCGTACCCGGCCCACCCACCCGTTTTGTCAGGTCTACTACCCACCCACATTTGCCAGATTCTAGCCACAACTGCTGGAAGATAGCCAAAATCTGATAGTATAATGGTGCACTACTGGCTGAATCTGGCAAATACTGTGCCGATCTAGTCTTTTTCGACAAAATCCATCATATATTTAGCCGAAAAGATCAGATCTACGACAAAAGATCTAGCCGTTGATAACCAGATCTTTGGCTGTAGCTGGTCGTCAACGACGACCATATCTTTGGCCATCATGGACAACCAAACGTGGCCAGATCTGGCTGGAGATCTAGTCTTTTCCGACCAGATCCATAATGGATCTAGTTGAAAAAGACAATATCGGTGCACGATCGATCGGATCCAGTCGGTTGTACATCGATACGACGACTCCAACCACCTTCCGGCAATGGTGGCCAACTGTCGACATTTAATGGGTGGGTGAGGGTGATTTTGTTAATTTTCAATGTTTTATTACGAGAGTGTTTAGCTAAATTAACAAACACAGGGAAATGTTTTTATTAATTTTCAAATCCTGCCTAGAAATAACCACCTAATTCTTACTTTTTTAAAAATCATATCCAAAATAATAAAAAACATAAATTACTATTTCAATGACCCAAATTCTCACTAAATCCTCAGTGCTTTATCTACAGAATTAATCAATTTCTGTTGGTTGTTACCCACAACATTGTTGCCGGTGACACCACTGGCTGCTGCGGCACCATCGGTGGCTGTGGCTGCCATTTCTGCCAAGTCCATACCATTCTCTATACTAATACATTCCTCTCTAAACTTCTTGTAAATATCACCTTTATAAAATTTATGTGTCCTAATCACCAAAATAAATGAAACAAGGCACCCAAAGAATGTAGCCGCTGTGATTATAATAAAACACATTTTATAACACTGCACGCCGGAGCAATTCAAGCCTTGGCCGGCCTTCCTGGTGAGCCCCAACGCTGCCATCTGCTTCAAACCCTCTCGATCATACAGACGACCAGCGACTTTCACGTTAAAAATGTATGACCCAACCGGGCCCGAAACAGCTCCAACATTGTACAGTGTGGAGTAATGTTTAAGGCCAAATATTTCTGAAATGATTGCTACTACTAATGATAATTGTGCTCCGAGGCAGAACCCTGTAATCACTGAGGTAAAATAAAGAGAATTCGGAACATGGAAGGCGATGAAAAGATGGCTGAGGCATGAGATGAGAATCACTAGAGTTAGCAATAGAGGACGAGGGAATTTGTACTTTGTTAACAAGATTTCAGAGGCGAAACCTGAAAGGACTCGTCCGAGGAAATTCCAGATGCTAATAAGAGAAATGAAAGTGGCAATGCTGTGAGTAGGATAGCCTAATGACTTTCCGATTTGACCCAAGTTTATCGATGGCAGTTAAAGCCCCACCAACGCTAAAAGTTGTTGCCGTGAACAGAATTAGCATGTCAATGCTGAAAACCGCTTGCAGTATGGCATAGTCCTCGCCTCTGTCAGGTTGCTTGACAACATTTTTTAAGCCAAAAATTGTCTGGAAAGTCGGTTTTGCTTCTGATGCTGCAACTATTAATGGATTCTCGGTTACAACATTAACTTCAGGATCGTCTTTCAAAGCTTGTTTCTTGCTCTTCCAGATGGAGAATTCTTCTTTTATAACTATAGCAAGTGGAATGAAGAGAAAAATAACAACCACTGATGCACTCGCAATATACTGACTTCTAGTAAACCTGAACTTGTTCTGAATTATAATTGTCACAATCATAAATCCAGCTAGGCCAAGCAAAATATAGAGGAAATTATAGAAAACTTTGAGCTCCTTTGCTTGTTTAACAACCTTCATAATCCGAATGGTTGGAAGAAAAAACACCGGAACAGCAGTTGGAAGCCAAGCAATTAACAAGATAAGAGCTTTTGTGTCATCACCATGGAAAGCATGGTAGATTTGTGTCATTATCGCGCCACTGAGCCCAATAAGACCCTTCAAGAGGCCAATGGTAACGCCTCTACTTTCAGGGAAATTCTTAACACAAGTAACCAATGCTCCAGTGTTTGGAAACGACAGTGAATTTGAGCCAATCCACATGTACAAACACATATGCCAGACATGGGGTTTGGCTACACGACCAGTAACACTTAGCCAAATCATGAAAAACCCAAAAAAGTTCATGGCTGAACCAATTAAGAGAACAACCCAGGGAGGTGCAATCTCATAGATGAGCCCTGCCAAGACTCCGAGATTACCACCCAAGTCCTTGAAGAAGGCTATCGAGTTGAGTGTGGTCTGATCATAGCCTAATGCTGATTTGATGTCATTCGAGTATAGACCAAACATATAAGATGAACCATTGACAGACATGATTAACAAGGTAGCGAAGACCATGAACAATCTGCTAGCCAGCATATGCAATCCGAAGTTCTTCATCTGTTTCCAATTTGATTCAACACCGCCATTGAAGGCAGACATTACCATTTTTTCCTCTCAAGTTCTAACAAGCTCTATGCCTGAACACTGAAGTGGTGAAGTTTTTTAGTACTACAGGACAGCCGATGAGGTGAACTGATTTTGATCAAATTTGCCTGGCCAAATATATTATAAAACTTCGTAGTTCATCAGCACAAGACATATAAAAATGGGCATTAACTTTTGTGCTTGTCCTGCCTTGATGGTCGGACTTGCTTGTCTCTTTGATGAAGGAATCAAGCTTATAGCTGGGGTCAATGACATCAAATCATTTTGTACTTCTGGTTTCTTTGTGCTACGTTATGAAAGGAGTCAACATTTCCTTATCACTAAACCTCAATCAGTGAGCTTTTGTCTCCGAGGTTCGTCATCTGTATACAGAAATTATTTTCTAGTTTTCAGCAGCTTTCCTACCCTCTTAAATTTACTAATCACCAATGAAGCATCCCATGACAAGGAGATTGTTACAGGACCTGCAAGGTTTGCATTCTGTAGATCTCTGCAGTCTCAAGGGCTCAAGTATACGGTTTCTAAAAGAATTGGTCTCCACTTCCCAAATAGACTCTGCTAGCCGTCTCAATGTTTGTGATCGATTATTTATTTGATTGAAGCTTATTTGATTTGGCTTCAATCGGTCAGTTTAAGAAGTATGCAATTCACGGCTGCATATGATAAAATGTGACCAAAACCGAAACCATTTCTTCCTTCCATCAGCCGTGACTCGGAATCCTTTTACCATTTTGTATAGGTCCTGATACTATGATACACATTCCTAAAAGAAGATAATGGCTTGGCCAAGTATTAAAATCCTTAGCAACACAAATTTCTCCGAGGCCTGTTGATTAAGATCTGAATATGCAAAAGCATAATGGTTGCTGCATTTCTGCGACAAAGTTAAGACATTGATAAAAAGTTGAAACTGAAAAGCGGCCAAAATGCAAGAAAGATACTATGATTAGCAACTACATTCATTTGGAAGTAAATAAATTCACATACCATGATACAGAAACAGATTGCTTGGAAGAGAGGCTAAAGGGTAAACTAACTGGCCTATTCACAGTTAACCACACGCATTGACGATTATTTACTCCTTATGCTGCAGAGAAAAACCGTGCTTGCCGCAAGAAAAAATGCAAGCTACAGAATCGCAGTCTTTTTGGGTTTATCCCAATCAACAACAGTGCTCGTTTTGTATCAATAAATCTGTTAGCTAAAATATATAAACATCATAGCTAGAACATTGAGCAGGGGCAGCAGAAAAGCAAGAATCAACATGTCTGAAATCTCTTCTGACATTTGTACTGTTCACTCTATCCCAAAGTTAAATGCTCTCTTAATCACGGTGGAAAGAAGAGGTAATGAAATCACAGCTAAAACAACTTCCATTCAGTCATCAAAGTTCCACATCTCAAAGAAGTTAAAGCACAGAACAAAACAAGAATATACTACGTTGCATCCATCAGTCCTGACGCTAAACAGCAGCTCTTCACAATAATCAAAAACTGGAATAAACAGACTAGTTGTGTTCATTATCAATGCAGCAAAAGTAGAACCATATCTCAGTACCGATCAAAAGAAGATGGACGACCCCCACTTCTAGGACGGTCATAGGGGCCAGGCCTATCTCTATAGCTGCCCCTGTCATAGTGTGCTGGCCCACCACCTCCATACCTGTCACCACCAGCTCTAGGACCTCCATCCCTGTAATAACCTCTTTCTTTACCATAACCATTTTGAGGTTCCCGGTCCATGTATCTATCACCTGCAAAGCGGTCACCACGAGGTTGGTACCTATCATCATGATTATGGTCACGATTCCCGTACCTGCTGTGTCTGCTATCCAAATGGTCCCTGCCTCCATAGCGGCCCCCGTCAAAACGATCATCATAACGGTCTACGTCAAAGCGATCTCCATAGCCACCACCTCCACTGAACCTAGAATGTGAAGAAAATCTACCTCCACCACGACCACCACCATCAGCAGAAAGGCATTCTCGAGCAAAATGTCCAGGACGGCCACACTTGAAGCAGTCAGATCGCCCTGCAGACCTATCTCCTCTATAACTGTCCCTGCCACCTGCCATATGATCCCTACCATATCCATAACCTGGATCTTCACTACCCAATTTTGGCTGAGCCTTGTTTACTGAGATGACCCTGCCATCTAACTCCCGATTATGCATATCCTTGATTGCATCATCCATTGCCCGACTATCAGCAAAGGTTATGAATCCAAAACCACGAGGCCGACCAGTATCCCGATCCACCACGACCTACACAGATGCTAAATGTCATAGCATTGAAAAGCTACATAATCTCATTCAATCAATACCATGAAACTGGATATATCCAGCATGTGAGTATTTATGTATTAAACTTGGAAAAATATGTATTTCATTCCACTCAAACAAAAAACACATTCATATCTATGATGCTGATAATGTAAAAAGCAGGATCTCACTAGGAGCTCAATCTACGAACAAAGAAGTTAAGATATTTGATTAACTATAACTCCAAGTGACAAGGTTGAAAAACAATTCAAACAAGCAGGACGTGCTTTCCCATCATACAGATAAAGAAAGAAAATTGTATTTGCTCAACTCAATCTCAATTGACAAGCCATTAATTGCATCCCCAACTACAACAAAAATGATTGATAATCAAATGACAATCCACTTAACAAACTTAGCTCAATAGCACTTCATTAAAACAGGTCATGTACCATAAATAATGCAATACCACCAGTTCATCATTCCCCATAAAGCACAAATAAGGCAATCTTCTAGATGCCTAAATAACTCAGAAGCAAACTATGTATCATTGTGGCTGTTAATTATAAGTAAGACAAAATAAATGATTAAGAAATGTGGATTATCCATTAGTTTACAACATCCATTCCTCCCTTTTTTTTGAAAAAAAAAAAATTGCGTGTCCTGCACAGTGGCACCGTAAACCATCATCTCATCCTCGAATTTACCATAGCTACTTGATATCCTGTGTCTAGTGGTAGCAGCAGTTTCTATAAAAGATTTCAGCAAGATCATACAACAGTATGAAGATCTGTAAGTAATCAAGTCAGAAGCCTCAACTATAAGAATAATATCAGTAGACCCAGTTTGTGTAGACTCTGAGCAAGGACACTGGCAAAACAAATGGAAGTTATAAAATGCAAAGCCTCTAAAAAATGCAGATGTGGACAATACCAAAAATACCTGCATGCTGTTTCAGCAGTAGTCAGTACACAATCACAGAAAGAATTTTGCATGTTTATACGAGAACATATACAAAATACTGCATAATTTTCCCCCACAAACCACCAACAGCAGCTCATCACTGTAGTAAATATCTCATGTGGAATAAAATTGTGCTGACAATCATTTTCCCATACACAACTAGTCTTGCAGTAAAGTCCATATCTCAATACAAGAATGCACAAGTGAACTTCACGCCCTAAAGAATGCAGCACTTCCAACGTGGAACAAAGTCTCCATTAACTGACGAGGTTTACTTCGTTTGTGGCAACAGAGTTCCTAAATTTGTACTAATGCAACTAAATTCTCCAAATTGAGCATTGACACAAGTTCTTGAAACACAAACGTTGTACTCAGCTTTCACAATTTTGAATTACTTTATTTTACAATATTTTTCCTATAATAAGAAACAAAAATCTGTAAATCAATATCTAAAAATACCCAAAATTGAAAACATTATGTCACCAACGTCATTCACTGAGGTCTGAAATCCTCTATTATATCCGAATTTCACATCAAAATTCACATGTCAACTCCATACAAGTAAGGTTACAAACCCATCAACATTATTCAAAACGAATAATAAACCAATCATGGAGAAACATTGTATACAAAAAACGAACCGAAGATTGAAGAATTTTGCCATATCGACTGAAAGCATCCTCAAGGTGTCTCTCCGTGGTAGTGAACGCTAGCCCACCTATAAATATACGATTTTCGTCTCTGCCAGCCATCTGCACATTAAATTTATCAGGAAAAAAAAAAAAACAAATAACTACATGTAATGGGACAGAGAAAAAGAAAAACTAAAGAATTAAGTGGTGAAGAAGACTAACCGAGAGGAGACAAAGAGAGAGTAGAAGGGAGTGAGAGTTGAAGAATAAACCCTAGATAGATTTTAGATAGAATTGCGATTTGCGAAGCTTCAAGGGAGCGATTCAATTCCGTAACGACGGAAAATTAACTGCGCATTTCATTAAGATTTGTTTATCAGAATTCGTTGGGCCGTGTTTGGTTGTGTCACGCTTTTTGCATGCCTATTCATTTTATTCTTGGGGAGAACGACTATATTCCCACCCGAGGTTTGGCGAAATGACACTTTCCCACCCACCGTTATGTTCTGTTAAGAAAATCTGTTTTGAAGAAGGACATGATGGTCAATTTACATGAAACTGCAAAAATCAAAATTGAAAAATCAAAATTTGGTCCGTGTAGCTTTTCCCTTTCTCTCTTCTTTTCCTTTCCTTCCTTTGTTTTTTTTTTCTTATCTTTTCTTCGCCATCATCTCTTCCTTCTACGCTAGAGACTGTGACGTTGGCGTAACCTGAAATCGCTAGTTGGGCTGACGACGTCACAACCTTCAGCCACGAGTTGGGCTCGTTGCGATGGCACCAACCCAAGTCGTAACTGGACGTAGCTTCACAGCGAACCAAATTGTGGCTGGAGGCAACGTCACAGACACTCATCTCGGCTACAACATTGACGCCGACACAACAACCACCTTTCTTTTCCCGCACTCATATTTTCTTTTAGATCTTATAGTTTATGGGTTTGTGATTTTTGGATTTATTTTTCGTGAATTTTCAGTGGCAGGAGGATTTGAGGATTCTTTTCTTGAAACAGGTGTTTTGCGTTTGTTGGATGTTGGATTTTGTGTTGTGTGGATTTGTGAAAAGAATTTGTATATGAATTTTAATTGTTAATTTTCAGTAGACGCAAAGCCAGGCAAGCTCGTATCTTGGCCTTAGTCGCGTGGCTTTGTCGGCGCAATGCCATGCAGAATCTTGTCCTGAGCCACCCAACTTCTCTCTTCTACAACGCCTCTTCTTCGTTCTACAGTCCATCCCCGAGATCTTTGAACTATGACAAGTCTTTATATTTTGTATGAAATTTGAAGGACTCAAAATAAAATAATGCATCAAATCCATGGCTTGGCCAGCATTATTTTTCTCCTCTACATGTCATGGGTCGTCGTGGAGACAAGAACAGTTTTATTTTTCTTTTTCATAGGTTTTAGTAATGGGTTTTATGGGTTTGATTTTTGATTTTTTTTTTTTTCTCTTGTGCTTATTATGACTATGATTGTTTAGTTGAGATGTAATATGAATTTGATTATGGAGTTGAGATGGAGGATGAATTTTGAATGGGTGTTAAGATGGGGGATGAATTCTGATTGTGTTTGAATTAATGGAGGTGATTTTTCAGACGAATCTGGATAAATTGGGTTAGAGTTTGAATTAATGGGAGTTGATAGTTTCTGCAAATCTTGGTTGAACGAGAGATTGAGTAGTCATTCTCTCAAATAGTTCATGTGCATCCCCTTAAGCATCTGTAAAAGAGCTGCAATTCCGATTTTACCAATCTTTTTTGTAAGATTTTTGTGAAATTTGTTTGGAAGACTTCTATAAATTTTGTTGCAATAAAGATTAAGTTTAACTTTTTTATTAATTTGATACTAATTTTTTATTAATTGAAGTTGTTTTAATAATGGTCGGTTTATTGATTAATTTAAAATTAGTGATGAATATTGAAGATTATTTTGAAAATGTATTATTCAGATAATTATTAATAAAGGTAAAAATGACATTTAATTGGTCAAATTCTAATAATAATAAAATTATTAAGTCAAATAGTAAAAGATATTTTTGTCTTTACAATAAAATAGTAACAGATTTTTCTAGCAAAACATAACGATGGGTAGAAAAATATCGTTTTGAAACTTGACGGGTGGAAAAAGTCGTTTTGCTAAAGCTTGGGTGAGAAAAGTAGCTCTCCCTTATTCTTGTTTTATTTTATTTTGTTTCCCAAAGTAGTTGAAAATTTTCTTAACAATATTCTTAATTTAAAAAATAATATATACTTTTTCATTAAATTTGTTTGATAAATTTTCTAATTTAACAATATTTTAAATGGATTTATATACAACCTTATTCAATTTTATTTTAGACAATAATACCTCCAGAGCCCTTTAGTATTCAGTACGAGTTGTACAAAGGTACAAAGGGTGACCAATTATCGTAAAATTAATGACTTTTTTCCACCCAAATAATGGTTTAATGACACTTTTTTATCCACAAAATTTTAAAATACCATTATACTATCCAAATTTATATTTCAACGGCGAACAAAGAACAAACTCAGTTCAGACTATTGGAGCTTTTAAAGAGAGGAGGCCGATAATTCTTTTAGTGGTGGAAGGTTGAAATTTGGTGGTTGGGATTGGTCGGATTTGACTTGGGACGGGCAGCTGTGAAAACATTAATCACTCGATTGTCGGCGATTGGCAGGGTTGGCGGGAGTAGGGTTTGAAGAGTTTTGGTGAGTGATGATCAAGAAAGAAAATAGTGGTGGTGTAGAGTCGCAACAATGACGAAATTGGAAACGAAGTAGAAATTTGGTTAATAAAGTGGTATTTTAAAAGTCTATAGGTGGGAAAGTGTCATTAAACCATTATTTGGGTGGGAAAAAGTCGTTCACTCATTATCATGCCTCAAAGGAAAAAAAAAAAAAAAAACGTTAAAAGTCTCATCTTTTCCTCCAATTTTCACACAATGATTAGAACTCAATTCGGGGTGCAAATCAAGAGGTTTTGGTCAGACAATGCAAAAGACTATTTTAATAAAGTCCTTTGTCCTTACTTTCAAAAGGAAGGGATCATACATGAATCCTCTTGTGTTAATATATCCCAACAAAATAGGGTTGTTGAGAGAAAAAATGGCCACCTGCTTGCATCCATAGGAGCGTTCCCACTCTAGAAAAAATGTCCCTAAATCATTTTGGGGAGAAGTAGTGCTTACTGCTACCCATCTTATAAATAGACCACCAACTAGAGTCTTGGGATTCAAAAGTCCAATGGAATTGCTTTCTAAATATTTTTTCTAGACTTTAATTCCTCAACTAGGTTGGTTCCGAAAGTTCCAAAACTTTTTTTGCTGTGTTTCCTTTGTCCATGTTTATTCCAAGAATCAGGTTACGTTAGATCCACGAGCAATAAAATGCATTTTCATAGGCTATTCTTATACTAAAAAAGGTTACAAATGTTGTCATCCTCCAACTCAGAAATTTTATGTCTCTTCTAATGTGACATTTGCCAAACAAGCGAGCTATTTTACTCGTCCTTATCTTAAGAAGGAGATACTTATGGAAAATAAGGACAAGGATTTATTTTTTTTCAAGCCTCTTTATTCTAGTTCTTCTTCAACTATTCCCAAGTTCATAAGGGTTATGCCAACCTTATAACTCCCTAAACCCGAATTGCCTAAGCCTTCCAGCTCCAATCCAAGAACTCAAACTCAATCTTCTTTAGGGAAATAGGTTCCTAATTTTATGAGGCCATTACAAGTTTATTGAAGAAGGAAGGCAATCATCACAACACAAAACACGTGCACATTCAAGAGTTTGAACCGACTGCTGGGAATGAGGTAAACACTTCTATACATCTTCTCCTACTATTCCTATTCTCATGAATTAGTAGGTACTAGTGAACCATATGTTCCTAGCAATTAAAAAAAAAAAAATAAAAAAAAAAAAGGTAAAAAACTGTACCAAGCATCCATTATATCCTCTTTCTAATTTTGTGTCTTATGAAAGGTTGTATCATCTCACAAAAGCTTTCTCACTCACCTAAATACCATGTCCATACCTAAAACCTATTGAGGCATTAAAAAGTGAGGAATGGAAGCAAGCTATGAGAATCGAGATAGAAGCACTTGAAAAGAATGATACTTGGGACCCAATTGATTACCAACAGGAAAGAGTTTGGTGGGGTGCAAATGGGTGTTCATTGGAAATATAATGCAGATGGATCTCTTGAGAGATATAAAGTCAAGTTTGTAGCCAAAGGTTATACACAAACTTATGGAATAGATTACCAAGAGATTTGCACCAATGTTTAAGATGAACATAGTGAGGATTTTGCTCTCTTTGGTTGCTCAGTTTATTTGATTGGGATTTACAATAGTTTGAGTAAAACAGTTTCTTACATAGAGAGCTGAGAGAAATATATGGCCTTTCCACCTGGTTTTGGTGTGAACTTGAAAGAAAACAAGGTTACAAATTGAAGAAGGCTTGCGGGTTGAAGCAATTTTCATGGGTCTGGTTTAAAAGATTTTTTAAGGTAATGATGGCTGTGGGATACAAGCAAAGAGGGTGGCCATACACTTTTCATTAAACACTAACTTCAGGGGAATAACTACCTTTGGTGGCCGAGTGGTTTGAAAGAGGCTCTTGGGTGTATTACTTAAGATGGTGTGCAAGCCAGTTGATATACCATTGATTTGAACCATAAGCTTAGAGAAACTAGTGAGGTGTTGCATGGACAAGGGTATTTATCAAAGATTGGTTGGAAGATTGATTTATTGGTTGCATACATGGCCAGACATAGCCTAGCGATTAGCATTGTGAGTCGATTCATGCACAACCCCAAAGAGTTATTTGGAGGCTTTAACATGATTTTGCATTACCTAAAAGTCACACCAAAAAGGAATTATGTTCAAGAAATAGCCGAGTTGACATTAGAAGTATATACTGATGTAGATTTGCAAGACGATAGTAAATAGAAGATTAACATCAGGACATTGCACATTTCTTGGCGGGAACTTGTGACTTGAAGAGGTAAGAAACAGATGTTGTAGATAGATCAACTTCAGAGGCTGAATTTCGTGCAATGGCTCAAGGAATATGTGAGCTATTATGGCTAAAGGTTGTTCTAGATACTTAGAATTAGTGGGATGCACCAATGAGACTTATTTGTACAATAATTCAGCTATCAACATTGCACACAACCGGTGCAACATGACAAGACCAACATGTGGAGGTGGGATAGACACTTTATAAAGGAAAAGCTAGACCGTGGCTTAATTTGCATTCCATATGTATTTACAGGAAGTAACTAGCAGATGTCTTGATTAAAGGCTTATAATGTCACATTTCAAGCATTATAGGCAAGCTGGAATGGAGAATAATATAGCTGAGGGATTGGAAAATGTAGTATATTAGAATGTACCTTGCTGTAAAATATTGTATATTGGCTAGGATAAGGGTAGTTATTAGGAATCTCTAATTTGTAGGGATAAGTTTAAAGGTAGTTTCTATTTTGTGTGTGTATATAATGAGGTGTAATACTCATTTGTATGATATATAAAAATCATTTCTCATCATCATCCATCTTTATATGGATGTGATTGGTAGTTATTAATTAGGAAATTATGTGACAATAATATATTGATTGGTGGTACAGTTGACGAACTAGTCATGTGTGGTATCATAGATGGTACATAAAAATGTAAGCGTTACATAAACAAATACATATCCAACGTCATTTACAATCATCCATCATTCGGATAAATTAGTTAGGATTTCTTTTCATTTGAAACTAAATTGAGCGTTCAGAATATAATTGACTATACTTAATCTTTTATTAATTTTCCCACAAGCAAAAGAGATAATGATGTAGGAGGCCTTTGGTACCGGGGAAAAAAAAAAAAAAAAAAAACCAACACTAGCGCTTAGTTAAGTAAGGGACTACTATATTTTTCCTGCCCATGTTTCCTTAATTTATCCATGGTCGGACTTTATATAACCATTGCTAATTTACCCTGCTTTAATTAATGTCATTTATCATATATAAATATATACGGTTGGAATATTGTAATTTAAATTTTGTCACTCTTTGTGAGACATTGAACATTGCTGAATCAACGGTAATAAGATAAATGATTAAGGTGATTATATTTAATACCAACTCATAATGGGTGTCGGTAATAAGATAAATGATTAAGGTAATTATATCACCTTTTTCATAAAATTCAGTGAATTGAAAAAGTTATGGGTTCGTTCAGTAACGTATCCAAAAAATTTTGTTAGAGTGGGTCGAAATAAAAACTAATTATACATTAATATTTTTGTCCATTAATATTTTTATTAGGATGGGCCAAAATAAAAACTAATTGTACATTAATATTTTTGTCCATTAATATTTTTGTTAGGGTGGGCTAAAATCCAGAAATTATACATATTAGTATTTAAAAAAAAATTGAGGGTGGGTCACAAAACTAGACTGGATCCGTCCTTGGGTGCGTTTGTTTTACTTTTTAGAATAACATTCTATAATAGAATACTATTTAATGAAATATGATAGGATTCTAAGAATGCATTTTGAAAAAAAATATTTTCTAAAAATATTTAGATTTTTTTTTAACCCTCTACATTTGTTAATTTAACTAAACATCTCTTATAATAAAATTTTATAAATTAACAAAAACACTCGCACTCACCCAATTATTGTCGGCAACAGGCCACCACTGTCAGACGGTGGTCGAAAGTCGCCGAAATGGCGCATAATCGACTTAATCTGGCCGGTCGTGCACTAATCTGGCCTTTTTCGGCCAAATCCACCATGGATTTGTCCATTTATCGCCAAATTTAGCCGTCATTTGATTGTCAACGACGACTAAGATATAGCTGTCATTTAACCTGGTTGACGACCAGATCTTTGGCCGTAGATTTGGTCAAAAACGAACAAATCAGTGCACGACTAACGAGATCTAATTGGTTGTGCATCATTACAACAGCGACATTGGCTGCTGGCGAGTGATAGTGGCTTGGGATGGATGAGAGTATTTTTGTTCATTTATAAACTTTTATTGAAAAAAATAATTGTCAAATGTTTTAAGTCGAATACAATATGGTTGGATTTTAAGTTAGAATTGAAAAGTAATTATTTCATTTTCTTAGGATAGGATAGGGAAAAATAGTGTGCCAAACGCAGTTCACTTTTCAGTTAATGAACAATTATCTAAGTGATTTGTTTTAATTGTCTTGACAATATTATCCTTATACATCCTTACCCATTTACATAACTTTTTTTCAATTTTCTTGTTATACGCCAACATTTTTTACTTCAAAGTTTCTATATATTTTTCTCATTTTCTCATTTTCAAAGTTTATGTTTTTATTATCATTGAACTCCTTAATCAACTATTTTGGTTAAATTATGTATCCGTTCGCAGAATAATATATAGATATATNCTCTAATTTGTAGGGATAAGTTTAAAGGTAGTTTCTATTTTGTGTGTGTATATAATGAGGATTGTAATACTCATTTGTATGATATATAAAAATCATTTCTCATCATCATCCATCTTTATCATGGATGTGATTGGTAGTTATTAATTTAGGAAATTATGTGACAATAATATATTGATTGGCGGTACAGTTGACGTAACTAGTACATGTGTGGTATCATAGATGTTACATAAAAATGTAAGCGTTACATAAACAATACATGATATCCAACGTCATTTTACAATCATCCCATCATACGGATACTAATTTAGTTTAGGATTTCTTTTCATTTGAACCCTAAATTGATCGTTCAGATATATAATTGACTATTACTTAATCTTTTATTAATATTTTCCCACAAGCAAAAGAGATAATGATGTAGGAGGCCTTTGGTCGGACTTTATATAACCATTGCTAATTTACCCTGCTTTAATTAATGTCATTTATCATATATAAATATATAGGGTTGGAATATTGTAATTTAAATTTTGTCACTCTTTGTGAGACATTGAACATTGCTGAATCAACGGTACTAAGATAAATGATTAAGGTGATTATATTTAATACCAACTCATAATGAGTGTCGGTAATAAGATAAATGATTAAGGTAATTATATCACCTTTTTCATAAAATTCAGTGAATTGAAAAAGTTACGGCTGCTTTCCGTAACAAATCCAAAAATTTTGGTTAGAGTGAGCCAAAATAAAAATTAATTATACATTAATATTTTTATCTATTAATATTTTTGTTAGAGTGGGCCAAAATAAAAACTAATTGTACATTAATATTTTTGTCCATTAATATTTTTGTTAGGATAGGTCAAAATCCAGAAATTGTATATATTAGTATTTTAAAAAAATTGAGGGTGGATCACAAAACTAGGCTGGATCCGTCCCTGGGTGCATTTGTTTTACTTTTTAGAATAGCATTCTATAATAGAATACTATTTAATGAAATATGATGGGATTCTAAGAATGCGTTTTGAAAAAAAATATTTTCTAAAAATATTTAGATTCCTTTTTAACCCCCTACATTTGTTAATTTAACTAAACATCTCCTATAATAAAATTTTATAAATTAACAAAAACACCCGCACTCACCCAACTATTGTCGACAACCAGCCACCACTACCGGACGGTGGCCGAAAGTTACCAAAATGGCGCATAACCGACTTAATCTGATCGGTCGTGCACTGATTTGGCCTTTTCCAGCCAAATCCACCATGGATTTGTCCATTAATCGCCAAATTTGGCCGTCATTTGGTTGTTAACGACAACCAAGATATAGCTGTCGTTTAACCTGGTTGACGGCCAGATCTTTGGCCGTAGATTTGGCCAAAAATGGACAAAGTGATGCACAACTAGCGAGATCCAACTGGTCGTACATCGTTACAACAGTGACGTTGCCTGCTGGCGAGTGATAGTGGCTTGGGATGGGTGAGAGTATTTTTGTAAATTTATAAACTTTTATTGAAAAAAATAATTGTTAAATGTTTTAAGTTGAATACAATATGATTGGATTTTAAGTTAGAATTGAAAAGTAATTATTTCATTTTCTTAGGATAGGATAGGGAAAAATAGTGTGCCAAACGCAGTTCACTTTTCACTTAATGAACAATTATCTAAGTGATTTGTTTTAATTGTCTTGACAATATTATCCATATACATCCTTACCCATTTACATAACATTTTTTCAATTTTCTTGCTATACGCCAACATTTTTTACTTCAAAGTTTCTATATATATATTTTTCTCATTTTCTCATTTTCAAAGTTTATGTTTTTATTATCATTGAACTCCTTAATCAACTATTTTGGTTAAATTAGGTATCCGTTCGCAGAATAATATATAGATAGATGAAAATAAGTTTATAAATCTTACAGCGGGTGAGAAAAAACAAGAGTTGCATACTTGTACTTTCATTATCTGGTCCTATTTTGTCTCCAAACTTTTAGCAGTTAACGTATGTAGGAACAAAGCCACTAAAATACTACATTCAATTACAATTTTATATTAGTATTTATTATTTTTGGCCGAAGACTATAAATGATTTGGTCTTGTGCAGGCACTTTGAATTTTATGCATGGCATATGGTATGCCTTATATATATATATATCAGAACCAGTTCTATATTGAATCGTCTTCTCTTTTGGGTGACACCATTTGAATTAAAACTACTTAAAATGTTGGGTAGTTTGCAGGCTGAAGTTTTTGTTCTAGTTTATATGATGTAGCCGGCTTCATTGTATATTTTCTCAAACCTGAACACTGCATGCATGCATATTTTATACACATATTGCATCTCATATTTCTCAGATTCCACCTTGACTCTGCGTTTACCAGAGAGATACCGGCATCCTATTGTAAAAGTTTTTATTTTTTTAAGTTGATAAATAATTAATCTCGTGAAATCTAACCCACCACAACTAACTCGCTGGTATTTATTTTTATTTCATGCTATTAAGGTATTGATGTTGACACTAAAATCAAGCTGATAAATTGTTAATACATTAACGCATAAATGGAGTAATTCTCTAATCGGAACATTATGATATAATTTACTAGTAATTTTTGGTTATTGAAACTGATACAAAGTTTCATTTCAGACCAATGAGATAAATCTAACTGTATATAAACATGATACTAAATAATTAATATTATAACGTCCTAATTAGAAAACTACTTACAAATTTAATATCTTCTGGTATCAATATGTATCTCTTTCTGGTATTGTGAATGCTCCTAAGATATCTTATTGTTAAAAGATGAATGTTAAAACAGAATGTAGACTAATTAACATTCATATTTTACCTGAAGTCATACATGATGAGTACAGATGAATAGACTGGTAATCCGATGTAGACCCTGAGTAATATATATACAAAGTTACAGTCTATAAGTAAGACCTGTGGAATTAAAACAGATAAAACTATAATTAATCGTTGATTAATCAACTGATCCGTCTAATATAATAGAAGGCTGTTAAGACAGTTACTCGCCACCCAATTTGGAATCTTTGATTTATTTTCTGTATTCGTTGTTAGCCTTTGTTTTGTCCGAGTCATATCATAGAGTTTGTCTCACTTTCATTTCGTGGGTTATTTAGGCCCTACCTCACCAGTCAGATGTCAACTAATGCCGGCCGTCTGACTTTTTCTTGTCTTATCAAAGCACCAGTACTATTACTATCTCACAACAAACTTGCTTATCTGACAGTTTTTGCAAAGAGGGAGAAAGGTTTGAACATGGCTGATCCCAGGAGAGTGGAAGAAGGGTTAGGACATGCACCACTTGTTCATGAAGATGATAAAAGCAACGTTGGAGATGGCATAAAGAATGAGAAAGAGATAGAGAGGAGTATCGTTATACAGGATGAGCCTGTTGAACAGAAAGAGGAGCAATCGCTGGTGAAGCAGAAGAGCAAGAGAGTTGCGACCTTGGATGCATTTAGAGGTCTTACTATAGTGGTAAGTTTATAAATTATTCATGCATGTTAGTGGAGTAGATGTTTAAAGACCATTAAAATAAAGAGAATACCAGACAGTCTTTATCACCTCATTTACTGTTGATGTCATCTCTAGAAACAAGGGATACACTGACACAAGCTGGTATAGCGGTTTCTTGCGTCGATATAACCCTTCTCTAATGCAAGACAATGTGCCGGAAAATTGTCAGGGCATCCTGGCCGGGGAAATGATGCCCCAACGCCATTGACAAGCGTAGGTGCATTGTGAGAATGAACCGATGCCAGCATTAATTGAAGCCCTTCCAAAATGAATAGTCTCACCACGTCAGCAAATAAGCGATAAAACTGTCTTATATAAGTTTTCTCTCAAATACATATAAATATATAATTTTTTTTTCACAAAATGAATAAATGCGTTGTAAGTTACATTTGCAAACACAGACATAATAAAAGAGTATAGAGTTGATATAATGTTTGAGCATATATACTGAATGAGTGATAATGGGTGTATAAATGTATGCAGTTGATGATATTGGTGGACGATGCTGGGGGAGCATATGAGCGGATCGATCACTCACCATGGAATGGATGCACATTGGCTGACTTTGTCATGCCTTTTTTTCTCTTCATTGTTGGGGTGGCCATCGCCCTTGCTCTCAAGGTTACCAGTTTTTTTACCTTATTATTAACTCTTTTTTTTAATTAATATCTTCTAATCTGGTTAACAATATTCGACATCTAGACAAATAGAACCTAACAGATGATAATGTACAAATAGATTCAAAACTTCCATACTTCTCAGACATGCCTGTTGCCAATTAATATAATCTATTGATTAATTCAAGTCATGTCTATTAATGTCTATTTTGGGTTTATAACATATTTATCTTAATCTTTCAGAGAATTCCGAAGATCAATGAGGCAATGAAGAAGATAATTTTAAGGACACTGAAGCTTCTATTTTGGGGAATTTTATTGCAAGGTAAGGATAATCTTAAGTTTCTTAATATGATAATTTGAAGTAAACTCTGACATTAAATGATATACAGAACTTGTTAATAACCTTGGTGGGAGTGTAAAATAATACACTTAGATGGACGAAACAGAGAAGATAACAACATAAACAAAATGACTAATTACATGAAATTTTTGTGGGTGTGTTTGGTGTATATTCTCACACAAACGCAGGAGGTTACTCGCACGCCCCTGATGATCTCTTTTACGGAGTTGACATGAAGCTTATCAGGTGGTGTGGCATTTTACAGGTCTTTTCTTAAACTCAATATTTTTCATTAATAGCTCAAAATATTCTTCAAATATGTGATCAATAATGGAAGTCTACACATTGGCATAGGTCTAATATTAATTAAAATTTAAAATTTTCTCCTGATTTCGGCTATGTAATTGTGTGTTACAAGCAGAGAATAGCAGTGGTGTACTGTTTTGTAGCAGTAATAGAGACTTTGACCACCAAGAGGAGACCAACTGTCCTAGAACCTGGACATTTCTCCATTTTCACAGCATATAGATGGCAATGGTAATTAAAAACCTTGGTCAACTGCTTATAAAATAGTAAATTAATTTGCAGAACTTCTTTCTCTATTGAGTTATCAATTAATTTGCCTATCTGGAATTTAGGCTCGGAGGGTTTGTAGCATTCCTCGTTTACATGATCACTACATATTCCTTATATGTTCCAGACTGGAGTTTTGTGGTGCCCCACAATCATGAAGCAAAGAGATACACGGTATGTGCTAAAGTTTGCTGTAAGATGAACATAAATTGTGCCATAGCTCTTGAATGTACTCATAAATGCTATTGAGAGTGATAAGGAATTTTCATTTCTTGCTTATTTCAGGTTAAATGTGGGATGAGAGGACACTTAGGACCTGCATGTAACGCTGTTGGTTATGTGGACAGAGAAGTTTGGGGCATAAATCATTTGTACTCCAGCCCAGTTTGGTCGCGCTTAAAGGTTAGTCCAGATTAAAATACCAATTGCAGAAATTATCATTGATTTGATGTTGCTATTGACCTTTTCATAAACTTGCAGGCTTGCACTCTTAGTTCTCCGAATTCTGGCCCTTTTCGCGAGGACGCTCCAACTTGGTGCCGTGCTCCATTTGAACCGGAAGGCCTGTTGAGGTTTGTTGAGTAATCATTTGCACAAATTAAATTCATACTTGCAAAACAACAGATTGATATAATTTCAAGACAAACATGGACTTAAATTGGGGTTTGTTTTGTTTAGTACAATCTCAGCTATCCTCTCTAGCACAATTGGCATCCATTATGGACATGTTCTGATTCATTTCAAGGTTAGAAATCTCATGATGTTACATAACTCTTGTCATGTTGTGAGTTGGATATGAAGTTCTATCATTTTGAAGGAAACTGAGAGTGTGGTCTTTTGCAGGGTCACTCTGAGAGGCTCAAGCAGTGGGTCTCAATGGGGTTCGGCTTACTCATCATAGCCATAATTCTTCATTTTACAGATGGTGAGCTTCCTGGATTAAGTCTCTGATCTCTATTACTAATATCAACAATTTTATGAAGTTTCTTTTCTTCAATGCTTTGCAGCTATTCCTATTAACAAGCAGCTCTACAGCATCAGCTACGTCTGTTTCACAGCCGGTGCAGCGGGGATTGTGTTTTCCGGATTCTACATTCTGGTAAGACATCTAAGTTCAATCTAAATCATTCAGTGAATTATTGTCAATCTAAGCTCTTAACTAAACGGAGTATTTTCAATTCTCTTTTCCTTTATGAATGAATGAACAGATTGATGTTTGGGGATGGAGGACTCCATTTTTATTCCTGGAGTGGATAGGGATGAATGCAATGCTCGTTTTTGTGCTCGGTGCACAGGGAATCCTTGCAGGATTTGTGAATGGATGGTATTACAAGAACCGTGATAACACACTTGTAAGTAACTCTTTCTTCTTTATGGTCAAAAGTTTTATCAAACAGATCATTTTGTCGATTTTAATTTTTGGAATACCATCTAACTTGTTTGCAAAACCAATAACTATTTCAGGTTAACTGGATTCAAACACATGTATTTATAAATGTTTGGAAGTCAGAGAGTCTAGGGACCCTTTTGTATGTGATATTTGCTGAAATTACATTCTGGGGAGTTGTATCAGGCATCTTGCACAAATTGGGTATATACTGGAAGCTATAAGAAGCAAATACTGCTAGTAAGTATACGGAGGAATGGTGTTTTGGTATAGTAAAATATTCACACAGATATCTTAAAAATTCAAGCGTTACTTGTACTTCTACATATTGTCTGTTATAGTAACCAAAATATTACAGTGGCTTTGTTTAAAATATTGCGACTTCAAAGGAAGTTATGAGTGTTTCAGTTTTCTTCCCTCAGTATTCTGTGCACAGTCACTGGTTGCCTACAGGACATATTTTTGTTATCTTGCTTAATGAAACACCACAGTGGGCACAGGCCAGTTGAGAACAGCTTCCTTGTAAAATTAATGCTGTCTGATTATCCAATGTCTTTTAACTCCACATTGAGGCACAAATTTGCAGAAGATCATATAAACTCTTTTCATTCTAAGTCCAGGTGGGCAGTTTAATGACAAAAAATTGATTGGCTTCAATCTGATTGTCTTGAGAATTCATTAGAAAAGTTCTATCTCCTTGGCATTTTTTTACACTAAAGTGAAGCACACCGTTGAATGTGCACATAATTACAAATTAACGAGGAACCCTGCTTCTCATTCGTCCTGAATGCTTCAAAACTTTCCTTCTCATATACATGTGATCAGAACTATTAATCCCAACTTCCAACCTCCTCTTTCTTTTCACTGCATTGCTATTTCAATGTTGCGTAGCAAATCATCTGCGTTCTCTGTATTTTGCTACTGGGATACATGGAGCATAAGCAACAAAGTTTCTCTAGTAAATAAAAAATATCTCAAAGTGTTTGGTAATATCTTTCTGTCAGCTAGTTGAATTATCTTCTTGTTCAGATTATATCTTGAATGATTAAGATATAGAATTTAATAGTTGGTCCCCGTGGTTCAATCAAACACGAACACCCCTGATTGCGACAAAATTCCTGTACGCATAATCTTCATTTGCGAAATGACGATTTACAGATCAATACATATCACAACAGAAATCATGTACAACAGACATGCCTCTGATGTGATCGAAGATTTTTATATAGGGACATCTACTTTGTATAATAGATGACACCCAGAAATGAATCAACGAGTCTTGTATATACATTTATCTACACCAATGATTGCTAGTTGGAACAACATATATGAATAAACCGTAAAGAAATTTAACACAAAAATACACAGAGCAAGTGTCATGTTGATAGTTAATTATAGAGATATTTCTGTACAAGTACAACTAAACTCTTTCTGCATAACTGATAACATTGAATGACAAGCCATATTATTTTTACAACATGTACTATATATTTATAAGAACGTAAAGGAAACGACTCCATATTGACTCCGTATTTACCTCTGTGCTCGATCTTTCAAGTGTGCGATGTCAAAGGCGCTTCACTCTTAATTTCTACATCTCCTCACTACCAACTTATCATTCTTATGATACAAAGTTAGTCCCACAGATGCGTACAAGATGGGCAACCTAAGCCCTTTTCACAGTATAACTTGTAATTTACATCCAAGAAAAACTACCCTTAGAAACATGTTGAATATATTTTCATTACACAACTGATGTGGTAACTGGCATGTCACTTAACATTCATCTTGTTACCACGTCAGTTTATAAGAAAAAGTTAATGGCAAGTTTGTGAGAAAAGTATTACCCTTTACATCTAAGTGGCATATCATGGTAGGAGAACGATACTGCACAATAGGCATAGCCGTCGGAAGGAAGTGATGAGTGATCATAATCACTCCCAGCCCATCAACATCTTCCATACTCCTTCCTCAATCTTGCTTCTTGGGACAGGCAATCCATCCCCTTCATCGAGAAGGACTCTATAAACTTCATATTCCCGATCTCCAATCATGTGCCTCCCAATCTCAGCCTGAAAAAGAAAAAGCACCAAACATGATATTTACCATTTACAAAACAAATAACGGTAATAATACACAATTCAATCACAGAATATTCACAATACATAGAAGAGGTTGTTTGACAAGGCCAAACTTACTTCATGAAGCATGCACATACATTACAGTTAGGGCCACAGAGTGGCCAAATAAAACACAATTGATTATGTACATTAATACTTCGTACCAGTTAACTGAAGAGTTAGGACTCCATAACTGAATTGGGACATAACATAATGTTTTATTTATGGCTTAGCAAAATCAGTCATAGAAAACACGCAATGTATAGCATCATTAACCTGTAAGGCGTTGTCAATTCTATAATTCCAGCAATGCAATCTTGTTTTAAATGACAAAAAAGCAACTAGGGTTCAGGGAAAACAAACGTGTGTTATAAGTTTTTGAGTTGATAGGGTAAGCAAACAAGTACATACCAAAAAGATGCAAGTATCAAGCATCTTGAGGGCAAGGGTAATATCATGAAAAACAAGAGGCCGGCCCTTGCCAGATAACTCTACAGGGTTTGCAACCAAAAGTTCAGTATCAGGACCCCTGCTGACCACTGCTACTCTGAGAGGCTGAAGTAATTCCATCTGCAGACGAGACGATAATGCATTCTGCTTGCTAGGGTCAACTATCTTTTTCCCATCAGATTGCACGATGAACAAGTCAATCTCACAACTTCCTCTTTGTCTCATGGAGAAGCGTCCATATGAAATCTGCTTAAATAATAAGATTTTGGGGTAAATATTACATAAATGGTAAATGATAGATGTTTCAAGAAAGAATGACAGCCATATGAAATCTAATGAAGACATCAACACATGAAAAAATGAATTACATAAAACAACTGCACAATGATTTCAAAAAGCTCACTACATTTTCAGAAAATCATATTAACAGTTCATATACCTGAATATTGTAATCCTTTAAAGTTCTCATTATGTCGTAAAGAAGACCTTTGTGATCTTGGCAATTAATTTGGACAAGAGTATGACCAGGACTCAGCATGTTGTCCATTGTGACAGAAACACTGTTGGAAGTGAGGGATCTGCTCGGGAGCTCATTAGGCATTTCCAAGTGGAACATGTCTTCAGTGATTACAGATTGAAGAAACGAAGATGCCTGAGAGCAGGCAGTAATTTCGGTGCCTACCAACTCTATATCACAGCTTATCATGGCATCCTCCATGATAACTTTTAAGCGGTTATGTGTATCCTCCTGTCTCTTCCTTGTATGCAGAAGTTCCCTGATAAAGACATTATTGAGAAAATAATATTAGTATGCAACAAAATATTATCAACAGGAACACTTTTACAAAAGAAAATCTCTATGGATTTTGTAGGGGAACATCCCGACATCCTTCACATCTAGGATTAATTTCCAATAATTAAAAAATAAAATTCTGTCCTTCTGCAACCAAAAGGAGCATACAAAGCCAACTCTAAATAAATTTAGTTCTGAAGCCCCCTTTTCCAGCCCTCTTATACAAAAAAAATAAACAAATAAACAGGCAAAAGCAAAAGGAAAACAAGGGTATCTATAGTGGTACTTTAAATGCTAAGGCACTTACTTTAAGCCTAACAAATCAAACTTCAAACTTCTACGTTGGTAAAATTCTAAGTATTTAATTGGCCGAGTTTTTTAAAGATTGCTTGCACTATATGATTAACTCTTTTCCTAACCAACCATTTGACCAGGGAGAATATTCATTAGCGTCAAGCAAGTGCTGCTAAACGTTAGTCAATAGGACTGTGGTCAGTCAATATAGATCATTTTATATTTGAAAAGAGAAATTGATTGAATGAGACACCATATCAAACTTGTAGATGGAAGTTACGACGTCACATAGTTGTAGTCATTCAAAGGCATCAATAAAACATGGCAAAATATATCAAGGATGCAAAACCTGGTGTCTGTAACGAAGAACAGGTCCATCACTCTCCCATCTGGGGTGGTAGATACCTTCACTTTCTTTATGGTGAGCTCAAGCTCACAAAGAACCCTTGTCACATCTGCCCATAAAAAAGAAAAATGACTCCTCCTAAACTCAATGATCGGCATAGTTCTCAAAATGTCCTAGCACCCAAATTCTCCACTAAACCACCACACCAAAAGCAGAAAATCAGATAATTTCATATCCCAATTGGCAAAAAGGAGAGAAAAAGGATAACTTCTTCATTTTAATCACATAAAAGGAAAAAAGGATGCAGTCAAAATCTTGGGATTCAATTAGAAGTAAAGGGTTTCAGTGGCCATTGAAAGATTCCAAAATCTCTTTTCTCAATCCATCATCTCACAACAATCAAAATATATGAATCAAATATGCAATAAAAACACACCACCAAAGCTATAATCGGCAACCAAAACCCACATCAAATATAAACCATCAAGACAAATAAGTCAAGTAAGATAGCCAGAAACATAAAATTTTAATCGAAAAAAAAAATTGATTGAAAGAACAAAAAAGTACCATGTAAAAGCCCTTTTCGATCAAGACAACAAAGCGTCAAGAGAAACACATCAGGAGGCTTTGGTGACTGGAGTTCTGCCCGGTAATATAAAAGTCCAGAAGCTGAAGAACAAGAAGGGCATACACCCAATAGTCTCTTCTTTCTTTTCTTCAATGCTTTGCAGCTATTCCTATTAACAAGCAGCTCTACAGCATCACTACGTCTGTTTCACAGCCGGTGCAGCGGGGATTGTGTTTTCCGGATTACATTCTGGTAAGACATCTAAGTTCAATCTAAATCATTCAGTGAATATCGTCAATCTAAGCTCTTAACTAAACGGAGTTTTTCAATTCTCTTTCCTTTATGTATGAATGAACAGATTGATGTGTGTATGGAGGACTCCATTTTTATTCCTGGAGTGGATAGGGATGAATGCAATGCTCGTTTTTGTGCTCGGTGCACAGGGAATCCTTGCAGGATTTGTGAATGGATGGTATACAAGAACCGTGATAACACACTTAAGTAACTCTTTCTCTTATGGTCAAAAGTTTTATCACAGATCATTTTGTCGATTTTAATTTTTGGATACCATCTAACTTGTTTGCAAACCAATAACTATTTCAGGTTAACTGGATTCAAACACATGTATTTATAAATGTTTGGAAGTCAGAGAGTCTAGGGACCCTTTTGTATTGTATTTTGCCGAAATTACATTCTGGGGAGTTGTTCAGGCATCTTGCACAAATTGGGTATATACTGGAAGCTATAAGAAGCAAATACTGCTAGTAAGTATACGGAGGAATGGTGTTTTGGTATAGTCAAATATTCACACAGATATCTTAAAAATTCAAGCGTTACTTGTACTCTACATATTGTCTGTTATAGTAACAAAATATTACAGGGCTTTGTTTAAAATATTGCGACTTCAAGGAAGTTTGAGTGTTTCAGTTTCTTCCCTCAGTATTCTGTGCACAGTCACTGGTTGCCTACAGGACATATTTTTGTTATCTTGCTTAATGAAACACCCACAGTGGGCACAGGCCAGTTGAGAACAGCTTCCTTGTAAATTAATGCTGTCTGATAATCCAATGTCTTTTAACTCCACATTGAGGCACAATTTGCAGAGATCTTATCTCTTTTCATTCTAAGTCCAGGTGGGCAGTTTAATGACAAAAAATTGATTGGCTTCAATCTATTGTCTTGAGAATTCATTAGAAAAGTTCTATCTCCTTGGCATTTTTTTACACTAAAGTGAAGCACACCGTTGAATGTGCACATAATTACAAATTAACGAGGAACCCTGCTTCTCATTCGTCCTGAATGCTTCAAACTTTCCTTCCATATACATGTATCAGACTATTAATCCCAATTCCAACCTCCTCTTCTTTTCACTGCATTGCTATTTCAATGTTGCGTAGCAAATCATCTGCGTTCCTGTATTTTGCTACTGGGATACATGGAGCATAAGCAAACAAGTTTCTCTAGTAATAAAAATATCTCAAAGTGTGTGAATATCTTTCGGTCCTAGTTGAATTATCTTCTTGTTCAGATTATATCTTGAATGATTAAGATATAGAATTTAATAGTTGGTCCCCGTGGTTCAATCAAACACGAACCCCTGATTACAAAATTCCTGTATGCATAATCTTCATTTGCGAAGTGACGATTTACAGATCAATACATATCACAACAGAAATCATGTACAACAGACATGCCTCTGATGTGATCGAAGATTTTTATATAGGGACATCTACTTTGTATATAGATGACACCCAGAAATGAATCAACGAGTCTTGTATATACATTTATCTACACCAATGATTGCTAGTTGAACAACATATATGAATAAACCGTAAAGAAATTTAACACAAAAATACACAGAGCAAGTGTCATGTTGATATTTAATTATAGAGATTTCTGTACAAGTACAACTAAACTCTTTCAGAATAACTGATAACATTGAATGACAAGCCATATTATTTTACAACATGTACTATATATTTATAGAACGTAAAGGAAACGACTCCATATTGACTCCATATTTACCTCTGTGCCGATCTTTCAAGTGTGCGTGTCAAGGCGCTTCACTCTTAATTTCTACATCTCCTCACTACCAACTTATCATTCTTATGATACAAAGTTAGTCCCACAGATGCGTACAGATGGGCAACCTAGCCCTTTTCACAGTAATCTTGTAATTTACTCCAAGAAAAACTACCCTTAGAAACATGTTGAATATATTTTCATTACACACTGATGTGGTAACTGGCATGTCACTTAACATTCATCTTGTTACCACGTCATTTTATAAGAAAAAGTTAATGGCAAGTTTGTGAGAAAAGTATTACCCTTTACATCTAGTGGCATCATGGTAGGAGAACGATACTGCACATAGCATAGCCTGCGGAAGGAAGTGATGAGTGATCATATCACTCCCAGCCCATCAACATCTTCCATACTCCTTCCTCAATCTTGCTTCTTGGGACAGGCAATCCTCCCCTTCATCGAGAAGGACTCTATAAACTTCATATTCCCGATCTCCAATCATGTGCCTCCCAATCTCAGCCTGAAAAAGAAAAGCACCAAACATGATATTTACCATTTACAAACAATAACGGTAATAATACACAATTCAATCACAGAATATTCACAATACATAGAAAGTTGTTTGACAAGGCCAAACTTACTTCATGAAGCATGCACTACATAATAAAGAGAATACCAGACAGTCTTTATCACCTCATTTACTGTTGATGTCATCTCTAGAAACAGGGGATACACTGACACAAGCTGGTATAGCGGTTTCTTGCGTCGATATAACCCTTCTCTAATGCATGACAATGTGCCGGAAAATTGTCAGGGCATCCTGGCCGGGGAAATGATGCCCCAACGCCATTGACAAGCGTAGGTGCATTGTGAGAATGAACCGATGCCAGCATTAATTGAAGCCCTTCCAAAATGAATAGTCTCACCACGTCAGCAAATAAGCGATAAAACTGTCTTATATAAGTTTTTCTCTCAAATACATATAAATATATAATTTTTTTTTCACAAAATGAATAAATGCGTTGTAACTTACATTTGCAAACACAGACATAATAAAAGAGTATAGAGTTGATATAATGTTTGAGCATATATACTGAATGAGTGATAATGGGTGTATAAATGTATGCAGTTGATGATATTGGTGGACGATGCTGGGGGAGCATATGAGCGGATCGATCACTCACCATGGAATGGATGCACATTGGCTGACTTTGTCATGCCTTTTTTTCTCTTCATTGTTGGGGTGGCCATCGCCCTTGCTCTCAAGGTTACCAGTTTTTTTACCTTATTATTAACTCTTTTTTTTAATTAATATCTTCTAATCTGGTTAACAATATTCGACATCTAGACAAATAGAACCTAACAGATGATAATGTACAAATAGATTCAAAACTTCCATACTTCTCAGACATGCCTGTTGCCAATTAATATAATCTATTGATTAATTCAAGTCATGTCTATTAATGTCTATTTTGGGTTTATAACATATTTATCTTAATCTTTCAGAGAATTCCGAAGATCAATGAGGCAATGAAGAAGATAATTTTAAGGACACTGAAGCTTCTATTTTGGGGAATTTTATTGCAAGGTAAGGATAATCTTAAGTTTCTTAATATGATAATTTGAAGTAAACTCTGACATTAAATGATATACAGAACTTGTTAATAACCTTGGTGGGAGTGTAAAATAATACACTTAGATGGACGAAACAGAGAAGATAACAACATAAACAAAATGACTAATTACATGAAATTTTTGTGGGTGTGTTTGGTGTATATTCTCACACAAACGCAGGAGGTTACTCGCACGCCCCTGATGATCTCTTTTACGGAGTTGACATGAAGCTTATCAGGTGGTGTGGCATTTTACAGGTCTTTTCTTAAACTCAATATTTTTCATTAATAGCTCAAAATATTCTTCAAATATGTGATCAATAATGGAAGTCTACACATTGGCATAGGTCTAATATTAATTAAAATTTAAAATTTTCTCCTGATTTCGGCTATGTAATTGTGTGTTACAAGCAGAGAATAGCAGTGGTGTACTGTTTTGTAGCAGTAATAGAGACTTTGACCACCAAGAGGAGACCAACTGTCCTAGAACCTGGACATTTCTCCATTTTCACAGCATATAGATGGCAATGGTAATTAAAAACCTTGGTCAACTGCTTATAAAATAGTAAATTAATTTGCAGAACTTCTTTCTCTATTGAGTTATCAATTAATTTGCCTATCTGGAATTTAGGCTCGGAGGGTTTGTAGCATTCCTCGTTTACATGATCACTACATATTCCTTATATGTTCCAGACTGGAGTTTTGTGGTGCCCCACAATCATGAAGCAAAGAGATACACGGTATGTGCTAAAGTTTGCTGTAAGATGAACATAAATTGTGCCATAGCTCTTGAATGTACTCATAAATGCTATTGAGAGTGATAAGGAATTTTCATTTCTTGCTTATTTCAGGTTAAATGTGGGATGAGAGGACACTTAGGACCTGCATGTAACGCTGTTGGTTATGTGGACAGAGAAGTTTGGGGCATAAATCATTTGTACTCCAGCCCAGTTTGGTCGCGCTTAAAGGTTAGTCCAGATTAAAATACCAATTGCAGAAATTATCATTGATTTGATGTTGCTATTGACCTTTTCATAAACTTGCAGGCTTGCACTCTTAGTTCTCCGAATTCTGGCCCTTTTCGCGAGGACGCTCCAACTTGGTGCCGTGCTCCATTTGAACCGGAAGGCCTGTTGAGGTTTGTTGAGTAATCATTTGCACAAATTAAATTCATACTTGCAAAACAACAGATTGATATAATTTCAAGACAAACATGGACTTAAATTGGGGTTTGTTTTGTTTAGTACAATCTCAGCTATCCTCTCTAGCACAATTGGCATCCATTATGGACATGTTCTGATTCATTTCAAGGTTAGAAATCTCATGATGTTACATAACTCTTGTCATGTTGTGAGTTGGATATGAAGTTCTATCATTTTGAAGGAAACTGAGAGTGTGGTCTTTTGCAGGGTCACTCTGAGAGGCTCAAGCAGTGGGTCTCAATGGGGTTCGGCTTACTCATCATAGCCATAATTCTTCATTTTACA